TGGGGACTGGGACTGATTCACTGATGAGGATGTCCTCTTCAACAGGGATCCTTACATTGTACACCTGAACATTGCCTTGTACATGGTGGTTTCTCTGTATTTTGGTGGAAAAAAGCCATGCTTCAAATGGGCAAAGTGTATGCCCTGTTCAAGGGCACACCTGGGCAAATGACCATAATTCATCAACTCATACTGATGGGGTCCCTAAAGAAAGCTTCGGTGACGACGCCTCGACTGGCCAGTGCTAGGCACCACAGAAAGAGCAACCAGGGGAAACCATCATGTGGGGGCTGATCAAATGGTCCTGGTTTGGACCATTTTCCTTTTAAAGGGGCCGCCCCTGTCAGGTTCCGTGTTACTTGGCGGGAGGGTAACTGAATTCCAAAGCACCAAAACTCTCCCCCCCACGCCTATGTTGAAACCCACAACAAAACACTGAAACCACCACATGAGGCTCAAAACTTGCTGGTGCTCAGCAGGAAATGTCAGCATGACCCCGAAAAGCCATCCAACTGGTGGTTTCCTCTAAGGGCCAATGCCTGGGCTCATTCCATTTCACATTCCCTATCGCACCAAGAAACAACTTTTAGTGGTTTCATGGAAAACTCATTCGTTGGCAAAAAGTTGAATTCCAAACATCCAAGCTAAATGCAACAAAGTATTTCCAACCATTACAAAGGAAAATCCACCATTTTCCCATTGGAACGCCTTCTTTGGAGCACTGACCCCTCCTTTTCGGAATTCCAACGCCCTTGGACCCCCGAGCACCGAGCCGCTCCTGAGCCTCCGCCCTGGCGGCCGCCACCTCCTCGGCGCTCGCGTCGCCGCACACCGCGCCGCCCAGCGAGGCGCTCAAGGCGTGGCACCACTCCAGGAGCCTCGGGGCCGAGCGCTTCGGGGCGCCAACGTGGGAAAAAACCGGGGCTCAGCCAGCCAGCCGGTCCCAAACCAGGGCACCAGGAGCCATGACCGATTGAGAATGGCTCCATGACCCCATCATCGTGTTTGCATGCAGTTTCATCACCCAAAGCGCCCGTCATGCATCTACATATAGACATACTCATGCATCCACTCATACCCTCATATATAAATGAATGTGTATATATATATATGTATATATACATATATATATATATATATCTATGTGTATATATGTATATATACATTGCTGTATGTTCAGCATGTAGCAACGGACATAAAATGTCGTCGTTCACATGTAGCGTGGTGACTGGAGTCGCCTGGGGTGAAACAACCGGCTGCACACAAACGGGCAAGTCAACATGTCCACTTGGAGGATCACCTTCACAAGATCGAATCATGGCCATCTACCAACCGTTTTTCAGCAGATGGGTCTGGGTCAAAATCCAAATCGTACCCCCAATGAACATCCCAATCTTCACTGAAATAGGCTCTACAATGGGTGGTCAATTCACCAACCAACCAAAATGGGATCCCAACCCGGTTTTGACAACCACAGCCCATGGCGTTTTGAACGGCCAGGCAGCAACGTGCAGGCCGTAGAGTAGACCTTCATGCACTTGGGGCTCACGGTGCAGAGCTCCTGAACCGGCAAGCCAGGTCGTGATTGACCTTTTGGCATGGGACAAAAATAAGCTCAGGTGATATCCCCATGCGGTGGAATCCGGAAAAGCCATGTTGGTCTTTAAGACCAGACGTGAATGTTCTTTGTTGGATTCCGGAGCACTGATATGGAAAAGAAACAGTTTGGCCTTTGAGACCAGACATGAATGTTTGAGTTGGTTCCTGCGGGGGGGGATCTCACTTCCAATCCACAGCTCGTCCACGCTTTCAAAGGCACGCCATACGGGCGTCTCTTTTGTTGAGGAAGCTCTGTTTTGTTTAAAGAGACCCCAAAAAGGAAATCTTTGTTTTGGAGGTCCCCCTCAAAACAGGACACCACCCGCGTGGCTCGGCTTTCGGGTCGATTGGAGGGTGGCCACGTGCTTACGTCACTCGGCAGATGGGTGGAGCCGTGTTTTCTTGAGTTGGTACCCCCCGTTTTAGAGGGAAACACACCCGGATGCGCGGAAGGATGGCAGCCCCCCCCTGAGGTCCACCAGGAACCACGGCTCTGGCATGCAAGCAATTCCATGCGCATGAAATACGACCCACGGACTGGGACAGCTGGGTTCCCCCCACAGCAAACAACCCTATCATAATGTGGTAGTAAATCCATTTCGCACCACTTACGATGGATGAAACCACAAAAAATATCAGGATGTTTTGGGATAAACGACCTACCATCTGGTGCGGCACACAGTGCCGTTGCTCCAAAAGGAGACGCCGAGGCAGGGTCCTATGGCCCAAATGCGGCGGAGTTTCGGAGATGCAAAGCTTTCTCCCATGCGGAAAACTCAGCCCAAACCCAGAAATTGGTTTGTTTTAAACTCAGGCCTCGGACTGCTTGGCTTTTCCTTTTGGTTTCCCTTTAACGCCCACCAAAAGACAGGTACTCCGAGGGGAAACAAAAACAACCGCACACCCCGGCCACTACACCTGTTTAGGTGAGATCGGGTCAGATTCGGTCGATTGGCAAGGGCAAGTGGATGTTCAAACTCGGATCGCTAGGTGAGGCTCTCCTTCCCGCCCATCTTTTGTCGGGACATCAGAAAGCTGCCTTTCTCCAATCCTTCTGGGTGAGTTATAATATTTCACCAGCCTGAAATAAGGTAGTTTGGGGGCTATTCCCCACATAAACCACCATTTGGGGTGAGGTCGTGTGAGGTCGTTATAATTCACCTAGATCCTTGGTAACTGGAGTCTCCTGAAGGACCCTTTCAAAATTGGGGGCACCCCTTTGGTAGATGCCCCCATCTTTTGTAGCGTCATGAAGACTCCAGGTGGCTTTGGATGCGATCACCGTCGGCAAACTAGCACACTCGATGATACCTGACGGGCCTGTGCTCAAACTTGCTGATACAACCAACTCACTGAAGGCAACATTCAAATGACTGGTCTAACAGCCCCAGAAACACAAGGAAACAACAGGTTAGAAGGCTGTCTTTGGGGCATGCAACTGAGAAAAACATGAGCCATGTATTTGCTGCCAGCGGACGGCACATGTCAGGTTTGTGTGCCGAGCAGTAGCTAGATCAGGCCATAGTCGCACAAGCTTGGTCATCATCTTGCTGGTTCTTCGCAGAGAATTCGGGAATGACAGCTTTAAACCATCTCCTATGATCTATGGTTTTCTTTAAGGAAATCCCTAGGTTCATTCCCAACACGCTGGGTCATTCCCTACTGAGCACCAAGAAGTCATTGAGGCCCTTTGTGTTGGGTCAAGAAGCATGGGAGGCAAAAATGACTTTCTGCAGTTGTCCACTCAACCTTCCACTCCCCAACCCAACCCCTCAACCCCCCAACCCCCCACAAAACCCCAGACGCCCCCAACGCCCCAAGCTCGCCCACCTCCCCACCCCCAACCCAAGAGCACCTGCAGCGCCTCCTTCACGCGCTCTTCATCCCCTTGTGGCTGGAAGCTCTGCCTCACACGGCCAGCTTCCGGAAGGGTCCTTCCCGACTGGAGGAGTCCCACTACCAATGAAAATCAACCAGTCTATGACTTTTGACCATATCAATGAACCCGGCTTATTAATAGGGGGGTTGAGGCCCCTCCAAAAGTGGTATGATTCCCCGCTAAACCCAGGGACACTAACGAACAGGGGTTGATTAATATGGGGTCAACTCATCCGGTGCTGCTCTGTCGCGGCCATGCCCACAGCCTTCCCTTGTCAGCACACAAGGGGGCACTCAGAACCACAGCATTTTCGGCTGCGGCGAAAACGGGTGGAGGAAAAACCATGACACTACAGTACTTGCTTTTTTGCGAAAGGACGCCCTGAAAAGTGTCACGGTGAGCCTGGGAGAGGCTGTGTGCAAAGTTTGCAGTCATGGAAATTGCGAGCTGCTCGCTGATCTGATTCATCTTTGGGCAACTGTGGTCATGCGTGCACCTGGACACCTCCAATAGCGGGCTGCTTTTGCAGACAATTCTTGTCCTGCGCTGGAAAATCAATATTTGAACTTCGGATGATCTGCACCCCCGGCTCTGTCCAGAAAGTCACGAAAACCACAGGAAATCCATGCTTGAAAGATTGATGGTTACGAATGGGGGATCGACCCCTCAAATAGACAAAGAACAAGCAGAAAGCAGCTTCCTCGCTGGGCTCGGTGGGGGCTGCTTGGTGTGAAGCTACTCGGGGTATTTTGCGTCGCCTTCTTTTTCGCCCATGTTGGTCGGCGCAAACAAAGGACACAAGAGAACGCAGATCTCCGGCGCCCGCTGGACGCACCAAAATGACACTAGCCACCTGTTTCGGGGCACATTCCAGGGGTCTGCCGATTGGACCGTAGTGAAGAATTACCAACTGTGCATCAGACCGAGAACACCCTCGTCATGTTCACTTTAAAAGGCCCCGAAACACAACAGCACACATGCAGCACCGATACATGGCTTAAGCCACGAGAGGCCATGAGGGAACAACCAAGATGCGTGTGTGCCCTTTCTTTCTTCGCCCTTTAAAACATGCCCAACAAAGGGAATCCTGCTTCAAAAGCCATACTACACCCACATGGCTGCTTTGCAGGCTTTCAGCCCCCCAAAATGGCGTCTCCAAGAAAACAGAAGGGGTGCCCCCCCTCCCCAACATGAACAAAGGCTTCCCACCAGTGGCCCATCCCAGTTGAAGAACCATACCTCAAACCATGATGGTTTCATCCACATTCTGGAAATGAGCAAATTCAGCACAGCTTTGGCCAATTTAGGTCATGGTTGCCAGGGCTCCTTTATTCGATCCACACCCTTTTGGTTCTTCCTTTTCTTCCATTTGGTTAAGACCCCTGATAGATTCCCTTTAAAACCAACAGGGGAACATACAGAATATGCTTAAGCAAATGGAAGTGGTGGTTCTCCCCTTAGGGGCTGGGGCCCTGGTTGCTATGTCGTCTTTCGGATCCGGGGGGCAGCTCCAGCACCAGCTGCGCGGCCCGGAACTCCGCGCCCAGCGCCGGCCAGGCGCTCGCGGCCGCCGGTGTCCGCAGCAGCGCCGCCAGGCCGCGGAAGAGCTTCTCGGCGTAGCCTCGGAAGGCCGAGGCGAAATATGTCAATATGCGTCTGCTGTGATTCTCACACCTCGTTGAACAGGCGACCTTTGTGAGCTAAACTCAGAATTGACCTGGAGTCTCCCCTGACCCTTCAAACATGGGGTCATTACCCAAAATTAAGGGGTCAAACTATACTATGACTCCCCAAACCGGAAATAACGGAACGTCCCAGGTCTTTTTCCCAAAGCACCCTGAGAATACAAGGCTAACCTTTTGGGACCACCAAAAACGGACCAGCACGGGGAAACCAGAGTCAACAGGTCGATTCGCTTTGGGCCCGGCAAGTGGGTACAATGCTCGTGTTCTCGGTGGAATTCTACCCGGAAGGGAAAAAGAAAGAAATGGAGAAAGAAAAACAATAAGTCACAGCAGCTCGGCACCTGCGCGCTGCTCAGCACCTGCTCGAGGTCTTTGGATGCCACGAAGTCCAGCTGTTGGCTGGCCTTTGCCACTGCCATGGCTCCAGATCGGGGCCCACCGATGCAGCTCACTTGAGCCGTGGTGAGCCGCCGTGAGCACGAGAGGAACTCGACATGAGAAAGTTGAAGGCCAGTCTTTAAATTGGAATCCACAAACTTACTTGAGGCGGAACGTGAGAAACTTGAAAGCAAGTCTTGCTTCGGTGTTCTACAGCGTTTGATCTAAAGGCTTGGACACGACAACGACATCCCTTCTTAGTCGTTGGTCTGCAGACTTGCAAAAACGCCGCTGCAAGCCTGGCAGCGTGGCTCACCCTACAACCTTTCCGTATTCCCACGGTCCATTTGTTTCTCTGCACAAACGGACCCAGAAAGCACAACGAGCATCACCTGAACTTCCGCAATCGCAGCACACATGGAAGAGAGCATGGATGAACACAACATCCAGTACAACCAACCGTTTATACAGGGAACAGCATCATTCAGTGGTTCTCCGGTCACCCTCATGTTCGCTATCAATTAGCATTTGCGCCAGCCCAGATCTTGAAAGCCTTGATTCACCGAAAGTGTTTCAGCTGCTGGTTTGCCGGTCCCTCCAAATCCATCCTGTCTCAGGTATCCCTTATAGAATTAGTTGGCGGTTGGATTGGCGGCTTGGGGTTTCGAAGCCCTGGATCGTGTATTTCGGGTAAATCGGAAACCAGGCCTAACGAAGCTGACACTCCAAGGCCCAGAAGTGGGGCTTGGGTGAGGCTGCACAGCCCCTGGGATTCGCTACAAAGGGCAAGCGACCAACTGCGCAGCCGCATCATTTTAACCAAGTGGTCGGCAACAAAGAAACACGCCCAGCTTCTGACGTTGGTAATTTATGAGAAACACAATGCAGCTTGTGGAAAATGGCAAGCCAACCCTGAGCGTTCCCTTCTTCATCAGGAAGCCGAAAAAGATCTTGAACTCACTTTAGTGGATTGGAGAAACACAGTCACATCCTGGCTCCGCAGCTCCAGCCACATTGACCCGGAGGTCGAACACCCAAGAAATCCTTCTTCCTTTTGGCCTCCCTTTACACGAAAATCCGCGTTCTGTTTGGATTTCCTTGAGATCCCCGACACGGGAAGCCAAAAAAAAACGGCGCACCTCAAGAGAACCCCCCCAACCCCCCCACCCCCCGCCCCCCCGTCCGCCCTCCACCGGGCACCCCGGGCCGACACGTCGTCCAGCGCCACCCCCTCCCCGGCGCGGGTGAAGTCCCCGAGGATCGCCAGGCGGGTAAGGCCCTGGAGCACCTGAAAAATGCAGTTGCTTGGATAAACCTGGGTGTATGTAATATCCGCCGACATTGCTCGGCGTGTCGGACACCTAAGAGAGGATAGAGGATAACCCCCCCCCTAACCCCCCCCCGCCCGACGTCTGATACGTGGGGGGGGGGCCCCCCCCCCGCCCAAGGACCGCGCGGCAATTTGATGACGTTCCACTAAACGTAGTCTTCGGGGAGCCGGTGTCGCAAAACAGGGGTCCCAGGCTCGATTCCCCCTGCCGGCTCTTTGCTGGTTTGGGGTTCCTGCCTCCTTTTGCAGGAAATCTGGAAAAACTCTGTGTTTTTGGACGTCCTAATTGTGAAAACGCTGGAAAACCCGTGTTTTTTGCTGGAAATATTGGGGAGCAGAGGGGAAATGCAAGGAAGTGCAAGTGAAATGAGGGGAGGAAATAGGAAGTCGACATGACAGGAAAGCAGCGGGACATGAAAGGGAAACAAAGGGGAACTGAAAGGGACATGCAAGGGACAGAAATGAAAACAAGGGGAGTGCAGGGGGAAGGAGAGGAAACAAAGCACAAGGAAACCAAGCACGACGGGAGATGTAGGGAAATGACTCGCAACGAAAGAACGGGACATACATGGCAAATGAAGCGGACATACCGAGAAAATGTCAGGGACATGAAGGGGGGGCTGAATGGC